CACCATTTTTTTATTATTACTTTTTTCAGCAAAATTTTTTTTCGAATCTAAAACGGGTATGTACTTGGTTTCTTTTTATTTTATAATTTTTTGTAAAAATGTAATTATTATTTTTGTAACTATAGTTGAAATTGTACTTGGCGCGATGCTTTACAGTGAAACTGTTTTTGTTCGGATATTCAATATTACTTATATTCCTATATATACTTTTCATTTCAATTCAAAACAGAATCGACACATTTTGCCTTATTTCTATTATTCAGTGTAATTTTGTTAATAATTTGATTTTTTATTCCTGATAAATAAAATATTTATGGTAATAATATTATATTTTAATGTTTTCAGAAAGAAAAGCAGATAATGAATGTGACACAGTTGACTCAAATGTGTTTTTGCAGTTTAGACAAGTTTTGCCAAGAGACTAAAATTTAACCTCCTATCTACTATGATCTGGATTTAATCACTAATGGCGAGATTATAACAATCTCTTTATGTGACTGATAACTAAATTTAATACAAGAATGAAAAGATTATTAATAAACATATAAATAAAATGAAAAAAGATTTTATGTTATAATTAATTAATGTTATTTTGTTCTAGTTTCAAAACAGATTGATCTGAAATCAGTTGCTCTAGAAACAAAAAATGCAAGCAACTAGACTACCTATAATAATAACATTCTAGTCATTTCTTTTGAAGATCTTGAACAAAATATATTATCCGACTCAGACCCTTTTGCTCTTTCATATTATAATAGATAGAATCAGACACCTCACACTACAGCAACAGTGAACCTGAAATAGTATAAAAAGATCAAAAGCATTTAAGAAATAGGAGGAAAGCTAGTCACGATGTTAAAAATAATATCAATGAAGGAGTTGTAAACGTGATGATCCAAGAAAAGACCACCCTGACTCAAAAAAGAAAATGTGAACCCCAAATATGGAAAAGAAACAAAAATAAAAAACTGAGACTCAAAGGTAAGGAACATACTTCTCAGAGGAAAAAAGTGAGAGCAAAAACAGTTAAAGAGATACCCTGCAAGTGTCATTATAACTACAACGAAAAATTTACTATAAATGATAGACGGAATATTTTTAATGACTTTTTGACTTTAAAAGAGGATAGGGCCAAATGGGCTTTCTTAAATAACGGTGTACGTAATGAGTTACCAAAAAGAAGGTACAAGTCAAAAATACTACTATAATGGCAGTTGAATTGCTGATAAAAGAAACTGTATTATAACTATAAAACTACTCATGTTTCCTCTCCACGTAAGTATAAATAATGCTTACCAGCTGTACAGGTTGTCGCCGACTGCTAAGGAAAAAAACTTCAAGTTATTTAAGAATAACTCAAAAAATATTGGTCTGACCTTAATCAAATTCATATGGGACCACACGAGAACTATCAGCTTTCATATAAAAAGGAATCATCGAAATCGGTTCACCCAGTACAAAGTTATGAGGTAACACACATAAAAAAATACAATCGAATTGAGTACCGTCTCCTTTTTGAAAGTCGGCAGAAAATAGGCTGGGACGAACCTGTTCCGCAACATATAATTAACTCATAGAAAAGACTAATTGACTACTTTTATTTTATAAAACATTTCAGCGTTCCGCGGCATGCGTGTTGTAGTAATGTAGTAAAACTCGAGTTACACTCATTTTCCGATGCATCCCTAAAGGCATTCGCGGGGGTTATAAGTACTGGATGTCCCGTGGCAAATTTAGGATTTGAAATTCGAATATTTTTGCAACGGTTGCGCGGGGGACCGGAGAGGGGTGACAGTTTGGCGCGGCATTTGTGCGGATTGGTCAGTCACGATGTCGCAGTGGACTGGCGCGCACCGCGCTTTCGCAGTTGAAGCGTATTTTGAAGCTATCAAATCGTGCACCGTTGCTCGACGGAGATTTTGTTCTCACTACAATATTCGTCGCTTTCGTCGTCAAAATCAAACTTTCACTCGGTGTGAAGCACAGAGTGAAAGTTTGATTTTGACGTGGGTCCAGAAGTTCCGTGCAACAGGTTCAACAAATAACGAGCCACGCCCAGGTCCTAGCCGAATGTCGAGGACTGCACAAAACATTGAACGCGTTGCAAACAGTGTTCAAGAAAATCCCCGCCAGTCCGTGCGCAAGAAAACGTCAAGTTTGCGGCTTCCAAAAACCACGGTGCACCGTATTTTAAGCTTGTACATTAAATTCCACCCCTTAAAGATCCAATAGGTATAGGCACTTAAACCAAATGACTACAGAGAACGCAAAAAGTTCTGTGATAACATGTTGAGCCGATTCCGTACTGTTAACACAATTTGGTTTAGTGATGAAGCTCATTTTCACTTGAATGGTTTTGTCAATAAACAAAACTGCCGCTATTGGGCGCCAAGAGGACAAAACCCGCGATTAAGACACCAACAAGCATTGCATAGCCCAAAAGTAACTGTTTGGGCAGTTCTTTCTGTCAATGGAATATTTGGACCGTTTTTCTTTGAGAATTCTCGTGGAGTAACCGTAACTGTTGATGGTCATGTCTACCGCCGCATGCTTAGCGAATATTTTATTCCGAAACTAAGAGAACATCCATCGAACAGCTCTCACACGTGGTTTCAACAAGATGGCGCCACGCCGCACACAGCAAGAACCACCATGAGTCTCCTTCGCGAAGAATTCCCCGGAAAATTGATTAGCCGATTTTGGGACATCGCATGGCCACCCGGATCGCCAGATCTCACTCCATTAGATTTTTTTCTATGGGGTTACTTAAAGGGAAAAGTTTACGACAGCAACCCGACGGATCTATCAGATTTAAAAGAAAATATCGTGCGAGAAGTGAAAGCTATTCCTCGGTCAGTATTGTAGCGCGTCGCTCAGAATACTCTCGAAAGATTCCGCGAGTGTGTACGTCGCGATGGAAAACATTTGGACGGAGTGATATTCAAAAACTAAAATCCGCATCTCTCGTCTTTCTTTTTATGACAAATATATGTAAATTCTAAAGGAATAACCTTCTTTAATTGAATTAAGAAATCCTAAATCTGCCACGGGACAACCGGTATATATACTGAATAAAACTGTTTTTACGGATTTTATCGCGTTTATTTTACTATTTTTGTTCCCGACGATTTGAAACGTCGGCAGTAAAAATAGTAAAATAAACGCGATAAAATCCGTAAAAAACAGTTTTATTCAATGTTTAGTGTTCGCGTAAATATAAGAAATCATTAAGTATATATCGACGGTTAAAAGGTAATAGGGTGTAAGCAACAAAAACCAAATTGTTCAGGAGAGCAGTTTAAAGTTTGAAATTGCAGAAAAATGGACATAACTTTTTTATTTATTGTCATAACGTAAAAATATAAACAGCTCTAAAATCAACAAAAATAAAAGCATTAATTGACTTTTTTATTTATTTGATTCGACGTTGTTTTATCTGATTTTATGTCGCTTAGATCAATTGATCCTATTTTCCATATGAGGTAATTTGGCATAAGTTACATTTACACAGAAAGAAACGAAGAGCTTAGAAGACTTAACTACGTTTGATATCCGTATACCAAGAGGTAATAGGGCATAAGTCACAAGACTGTAGACTAACTAAAATGGGTAAAGAAGGATACGTGACGATTCACATCATTATGTGAAAAGGTAATGGAGCACAAGAAACGGTGCCTAGCAAAAACATCGTAAGGATGTTAGACATTAGCGACACTGTAAGTGGGTTGAAAAAAAGGTAACGTGGTACTTCCACACATCAAGATTTCTATACTAAGAGGAAAACAAGAACATCCAACATACGGTATGATATAGGCAAATGGTAATGTGAATTAAATGTCATGTCTTAAAAATAATAGATTAACAAACGACATGATTCTCCTTTAAAATAATATTTAAGTAACTGTATTCATTTAAAGGCTGTTAGTGTTACCCATCATCATCATCGCTCGTACTAGATTAATAATGCTCTATATATTATATATTAAGTATGCTCTGACGTAATACTTCATGTGATTAAATGATAACAAAAATACGTTTTTTCACTTTTTATTAACAATTATAAAAGAAAAAGTAATTTTTACGATGTACGTAGTATCTGCATAGTAACAAAAAAAAAGAAGTAACTTAATGCAATAATATAATGTACTTCCAAAAATAAAGAATTTCTAAAACTTAGTACAACATACCACTACGTACTTATAATCTTTGACAAAACAATAACAGCCTTCAAGGCAACAATAATAATCTTGAAATATTTATTTTTACTTACAACTAAGCACCGTGTGTGTCATGCGCAGTGACTGTTCAGTCATTCACCATGTACTTATTTAGCTACTATTATGAAAGTTTCTTTGGTAAAAATAATTATAAAGAGTGGGAAGGTTAAAGGAACTATTAATACTTAGTGGTTTTCAAACAAATCGACCTCATAACAACAGGTCTATTGTTTACAATTACTAACTTATCAGCTAATCGAGATCAATATTAAAATCAATAAAGAGTTGGAAGGTTAAAGGAACTATTAATACTTAGTGGTTTTCAAACAAATCGACCTCATAACAACAGGTATATTGTTTACAATTACTAACTTATCACCTAATCGAGATCAATATTAAAATCAATAAAGAGTTGGAAGGTTACAGGAACTATTAATACTTAGTGGTTTTCAAACAAATCGACCTCATAACAACAGGTATATTGTTTACAATTACTAACTTATCACCTAATCGAGATCAATATTAAAATCAATAAAGAGTTGGAAGGTTACAGGAACTATTAATACTTAGTGGTTTTCAAACAAATCGACCTCATAACAACAGGTCTATTGTTTACAATTACTAGCTTATCAGCTAATCGAGATCAATATTAAAATCAATTATTTACTTAAACAGTCTTTATAAGGTATCTCCTGAAGATTAATTAAAGTAGGTCTTTGGTACGCAAGAACCTGAAGAAAATTAAGGTACAGTCATCACAAAATAGTGATACAGATAAGTTAACTACTGATCAACATTATCTTCAATGTCAGTATCGGGTAAAGTATCTTTCACCGTTTTGTTGAAAGCTAAGTACTCTGCCTGAAATTGTTGGGGTATAACTTGGTCTGAGCAAAGCTTTAATAAATCTTTGTGTTTATTTTCAGTAATTGGTAGGGGTGTAAGATAGCAGTCCGGTAAGTCAAGAAACTTTGTTTTGGAGGCGATTTCAATACAGGACACAGGTGTTTCCGGATTCATAGAGTATTTAACCGTTGCTGATATACGATTCTTTTTGAAAGTGGCGACTCGTATTTTACTTATTTTACCTACAAGATTTCCCACGAAATACTTGTCTGCGAGTAGATCCCATCTCTTAAAATCTTTGTGAGTTAACTGCTCAACATGAAAGGGCTTTGGATTTTGTCTTGCTGTTTGGAATACCGTATACCACTGGGAAGGAGCCCAGATAGTGGTATTTTTAACGTGGTTTTCAATAATCGCATGTACCGAATCGACTGTCATGTAGGTATGACCGGTAAGTAAGAAATTTATTTGAATAGATTCAAGAGTTCTGCATCGTTGCAGAATCTCGTTCAGCATTGCAAGAACTATCTTGTTCCGACAGCAGTCACAATAAAGAAGAAGTTGTCTTATATTTCCGCGTTCATCAAGCTTCGTTATGTATTTGCTTAATATTGTAGCCATCTCATTAGCACCTCGGTTACCCTGGCTTTCGTCCCAATAATAGCAATAAACATTGCGCGTACCATTTTCGTAAATAACTGCATTGTAAACGGCCAGCTTGCGTGTATAAAATAATAACATGCTATCACCATACGGTGTGTTCAAGACTTTTTGTAAGTCAAAACTAATGCAAATGGATGCTGAGTCTTTTAAATGAATAGTTTTGTGCATCTTGTAGCGATTGTATGTGTGGTCTTTCTCAATAAGGTGTTCTTCGTGAGCTCGTCGTTGTTCTGGTGTAGGATTAGTTTTATTTTCGTACTGACAACATTTCAGGCATTTGTCTTTTTTCGGGATATGGAATGCTATATTAAAGTTTTCATTGAAAACTTTTCGGAAAATGCTCTCCGAAACATACGTCAGTCCTTGAAAGCTACGATATTCTTTGTACTTTCTATATAAATTGGCTAAGTTTTTGTATTCTGCTGGAAGGTATGTTCGAGTACTATCCTTCCTACAATAATGAGAAGGAACTGCCGGTAAACATTTTATATAGTTTTCAACCGCTGTAATTTCATCGTTGCTGGTTTTGTTGGGAGGTACACTTTTACCCCTTTCAGATTGTTTGGCACTACCAAACTCATCGGCAGTTGAAACCGTATAATAAATATATTTGTGTGACACATCGATCGTTTTGCACAAAAATTGCAGACATATTTGTCGATGAGCTTCTCCATCCGTAATATTGTATTTGTATGTTATGGTGCGTTTTTCTGAATCCTTATTTCTCTTTCTTTTGATATTAGTTTTCTGGGTTAGGCTGATGATCCAATCCTTTCTTCTCTGTTCTGAAAGGCTCCAAAAATGCTTGAAAATGCTTATCCTTCTTTCTTCCGTTATATCTCCGCAGTTGTTTCCACATTTCTTACCCACACAAGGGTTTGGTTGGACTTTTTTTTCTTGAACAACTTCTCCGTTTGTTTTAATGTAACTCTGACCAGATAACCGTTTTTGAGCAGCCTGTTTCCTCTTATTTTTGGGAACCTTTTTCGTCGCTTTGTTACCTACAAACTCTTCTTCGACGTTAATAGTCATTTGCTTCCTTTTCTTTTCGTTTCTTTCCGGCTCCCACTCATCTGAGCTTCCTGCATCGCCAAAGGAATTTAACAAAGCTATCTCGTCGTCTGACATATAATCTAAATAAGATTGTTTCTTTGCTGGACGGGTGATTCTAAATGAGGACGATTTATTGTTGTTAGCGCCGGTTCTCAAAGATGTACCTGGAAGAACGTCCAACGGTTGTTGGGAAACATAAGATCGAACGAAGTTTGGCGCGGAGTTTGGAATACTTGATATTTCGTTGGACAATTCCATTGTAGGTGAAACATTATTGTTGAGTTCAGTCACAAAAGATGTGCTGGGAATATCTCGGAGCGATATTCCTGAGAGATTTGTTTCTGTGCCTGGCGGTGTGGAGTTCCAGCATGCAGCAGACGTAGCGTCCGGCACGGATCTCGTGAAGATGGCAGACGCAGCATCTGTAGCAGGGCTTGTGAGGACGGTAGACGCAGCGTCGGACGCGGAGCTCATGAGGACGGCAGACGCAGCATCAGGCGCGGAGCTCGTGAGGATGGCAGACGCAGCATCTGTAGTAGGGCTCGTGAGGACGGCAGACACAGCGTTGAGCGCGGAGCCTGTGAGGGTGGCAGATGCAGCCTCTGTAGCAGGGCTGGTGAGGACGGCAGACGCAGCATCGTTCGTGAAGCTCGTGAGGATGGCAGACGCAGCATCTATAGTAGGACTCGTGAAGATGGCAGGTGCAGCGTTGGGCGCGGAGCTCGTAAGGATGGCAGTTGCAGCGTCCGGCGTAGAGCTTATGAGAATGGCAGGCGCAGGGTCTGGAGTAGGGTTTGTAAGGATGGCACACACAGCGTTAGGCGGCGGCGCGGAGCTCGTGAGGATGGCAGACTTCTGGAAAAAAGGTAGGTAGGTAAAGTAAAATAACTATATAGTGGTGTGAATGTGCACGAGTGTGCCTTCATGTATTGTGTATTTATAATACGTTTAGTGTAGTTCCTGTGCTCATAATAATAATAAATCGCAATATCCATTCTGTAATACACATACATTTTTTCAATATGTACACTCATTTTTTCTTGTTACTCACAGCACTGTAAAAATACTTGCGCATCTACAATATAATAGTTTATTTACGAGTATCTACCGTTCTTCATAAGTTCAAGTATTAAGTATTAACATGTTAAGAAAATGAAATGTGAAATTAGTGTCTTAGACCGTTTCTTAGCAGTGGCGTACACTAGCTTTATTGTAATTTTAAGTCCTTAACTTCTAATTTTATGAAAGAATATAAAAAAAAATTTATTAGTCTTTCATAAAACTATTTAATAAGAAAGTTACAATATTTAGCTATATAGGCAGGTTTCTTTTACCTAAATGTTCATACAAAATCTGGATACTTCATTTATGTCATACAAATTAAGTATAGATCACTCTTGTTTTCCACAGAGGATGCCACGGTACTAAAATCATTAACCTTCTTAAGCCCAACATACAGATATAGATACCTATATACATGAGAGACAAACTTTATTTGATGTTCAACAACAAAAATACAAAACAATAAATTATTTACCTTATTAAATTCAGAAAGAAGGCTCTTGCGACATTTTTTCTGGTTTCGTATACCCGATGTTTTGAGAGCCATTTCCAGAATATCTCTTTTTCGACCTTTTCTTTCCATTTTAACCTAAAACAATACATTCAAAATAATAAATATCAGTTATAGCTACCTACTTAGTATGTAATCAATCATAAGTACTTAATTCAATATCAAACAGGTTAGAAAAATAAATAACATACCGTTAACAGGATGTTTGGCGCACTTTTCGCAAAAAAATTATGCGCAAGCGCGCATGCTCTCGCCGTCACTGCACGCAACCGACTGATTTTGGAATAAGCGACTTGCTAAATAGCTACTTTTTTATAACAAAGTGACACAAATTGGCGTAAGCACCAATTAAAAAATTATCACTGTAAAGTAATACGGCATAAGCGACAGAGTTGTATTAAAATAGTAAATGGTAGTAGGGTATAACCGACATTTCAATATCAAATTTGATTATAGTAATTGCGTATTAGCGACACCTGTATGGTAAACTTGTAAATAGTAGTAAGGTATAACCGACTGTTCAATATTAAATTAGATTTTAGTAATTGTGTATAAGCAACAAATGAATGGTAAACTTGTAAATGGTAGTAAGATATAACCGACGCTTAATTTTTGTGACGACAAAGGGTCCCAACTTTCAAAACAGGTGCTAATGGTAAAGAGCAGTATGCGACCAGAATCTATACACCAGTGAGAAGTAAAAATACATAACCGACTTTAAACCAGAAGTGATGCTATTTTTACAGGGTTAAAAGCGCCTTAAGGGTAAAAAAGGCCTAAAACTCGGTCGGTTATACCGAAATGATACTTCGTAAACGCAGTTTTTTGCTTGGGCATAAGCAACAAAAAAGTCATTGTAGAGCCATGGGAGTAAGCGCATTCGAAAAAGTGGAAAATTTTAAGTAGCTTGGCATTCAAGACTCAATTTAGACCAAAATGTCGCTTATGCCCTATTACCTTTTATCCGTCGATATGCGTTCATTTGATACGTTAGGTGATACGGTACGGTACGGTACGGTTCGTCTCATATGCGCAAAATCGAAGGTTGCACCACTAAAGAGCACAACTATCCCTCGACTAGAACTATGCGGCTCCCTGTTAGTATCACGTTTCTGTGATAAAGTTTCAAATGCGCTACGATGTAATGTCACCAAAACATGTTTTTGTTCAGACTCCAGAATTGTTTTGGGATGGTTGAGTACACATTCAAATAAGTACGTTTGTGTCCCAGCGGGTAGCAGAAATAAACCGGTTGTGTTCTAATGCTCTACGGATGTACGTTCCATCATCACAGAATCCCGCTGATCTCGCTTCTCACGGTGGTTTCGCGGTGGGACCTGCATTTCTGCAAAACGCGGAAGGTCAATAGCCTGATCAAAGCGAGGTGATACACACAAATTTACCTGAGTTAAAAGCATACACGGTTAGCGTTGGGAATCCGAAAGCATCCATAATGATTGACTTCAACAGGTATTCATGTTTAAGTAAATTGCGTCGTATATTTGCATTTATACATCGGTTTACTAACAACTGTAAGCAAAAATTGCAGTATCAGAGAAATAACGGAGCATTATCAGTCGAGGAACTTGAACTAGCAGAATTAAAATTGGCTTATCATTTTCAAAAGGAGCTTCCCCGATTTTTCTAATAAAAATAAATTACATGCTGCATTAAGTAGCTTAAACCCGTTTATGGATGAGTCAGCTTTGATTCGCGTTGGCGGGAGACTTGATAATTCATTATTTATTTATAATAAGAAGCATCCAATTGTTCTAGACACGAAACATCCGTTTACAAAATTATTATCCGCGTATTATCATATTAAATTAATGAATGGCGGACCGCAATTATTGCTTTCAGTCATTCGCGACCGTTATTGGCCTATTAATGGCAGAAGGCTAGCCCGACGTACGTCCAACGATCGTGTGCGTTGCAAAAGAATAAAGGAATGGTGGCGCAGCAAATAATGGGTAATCTGCCATCCCAACGCGTCGTGCCTCGCTTTGCGTTTGATGTTACGGTTACTGACTTTGCCGAACCTTTTTTAATAAGCGACAGGATAGGCCGCGGCGCTAGGCTTATAAAATCTCTGCATTTTTGTAGATTTTAAGGTTAAGGCAGTACATTTAGAGATAGTAAGTTCGTTGAGCACTGAGGCATTTATTTTAGCATTGCGTTGCTTCATATCACGTCGTAGTAAACCGCGAGAGATATTTTGCGATAATGGAAGAAATTTCGATGGTGCAAACAAAGGGATAGGTTCTCCGGCGTATGCTCCAAAATTTGGTGGTCTATAAGAAGCAGCTGTGAAATCAGCAAAGTATCATATGAAGAGGGTGTTAGGGCACAGTAATGTTTGAGGAGATCATGACTTTTTTTGCTCAAATTTAGGCAATATTAAACTCAAGGCCTTTGTGTCCCTTATCATCTTCTCCAAGCGATTTGTCACCTCTCACTCCAGGCCACTTTTTAATCGGACGGCCACTAACATCATTGCCAGCACCAGATCTACAGCTTGTCAACCCCAATCGCCTACACCGATTTGCAAAAATTGAACAAGCACGACAGAATTTCTGGACCAGATGGAGCCAGGAGTATATTTGCGAGTTACAACAATGCAATAAATGGCAGAAGAAGCAATCCGACATCAAGCCTGGTCAACTCGTGTTCATCAAAGACGATGCAAGGCCCTCCACTTAAATGGCCTCTCGGAAGAGTTAAGACAATTTATCCAGGTGCTGATGGAGTTTGCCGGGTGGCAGACATTTATACTGCAAAAGGCACAATCAGGCGAACCCTAAATAAAATATTCCCATTCCTGGATGTAGAAAAACAGTTTAAAAGCAGAGCTTTTAAAAAGGGTAGGATGTTACCGCCAGCTACTGCAACCGGTTCCATGCATGACGTCAAGCGCCCCGCCTCTCTGACCGATACCGATCGGTCATATAGCTAGAAATCGCCAAAACTTTTGTGAAATATTTTTTACAGGTGTTGCTATATGGAGCCATATAAACGAGTTATATGATACAGATAACAGCAATCCAATTTTCTATTTGCACCTCGTTTAAAAAAAAGAGCATATAAATTCAAACACGTAGCAGAAGATGAAGGTGAAGCTAGCTGCAAAAGTGTTTAGTCACTCAGTTGCTGCAGCGATGATTGCTAAAATTTCATAAGATAAATTAAATTAATAATTGAAAATATAATGTTTAAACATATGCCCCCTATTAAAAAATAAGTTACAAAGGAACTATGATGTCAATGCTATAAATAAGGCTTCCCCGAGTACAAATATTGTTTATTGTGTGATATGTGATATTTATTTTAGATATTTTGTAACATACATTAAATACTATTTATTTAATCCTAATAGTAAGATCTTAAATTTGTGTTATGTTTACAGGTGAACTCTCTTCAAAAGCCGTCACTACAGCTAATGTTATTTCGAGTATGGAGAAGCTGTTTGATAGCGTCAACGCATGCATACCAAACCTAAGAAGGGGGAAACCATTTTTAGAGAACATAAATAATAATTCACCGTATCTCCTCCATTTCACTTAAATGAAGTAATTTTTAAAGAAATGACATTTTTGGGGCGCAAACGAGCTCCTCTATCCCAAGAAGGTTGGATATGATCCATCAATGGAATCATACAAATCTGGAGAAATCTCAGTTATAAACATAAACCGATAAAAAGTTTGGAAACAAAAAGGCTCCAGCAGAACCCATTAGAAAATCTTTTTGCTTGCATTCAGCCCAATTTCGGCAGTAATTCGAATCCCACTGCTGGGCAGTGTTGCAGGTTTTAAAACGGCTGTCCTCGACGACTTGTCTTTTATTGACACCGGAAATTGTGAAGATGACGAAAATTAAGTAATATTGATAACAGTTAAAACTTCATTTTTTCCACTCGCATACACACACACTGCTTATGCCACAATTTTAATGATAATTTGGAAGAAAGTATGAATTTTACATTTGCATGTAGCTTGGAGAAAAGAAACCAGATCATAAATTTCAGCCTGATCCAGATCTTAACGCAGACGAAGTACAATAAATTAAAGAATTGGTTATATGTTAGCCATGCAAAGGGTTTTCCTAAACGGAAAGAAGATATTTTGAATAACGTATCAGAATTTATAAGAAAAGCGACCGATCTAAAGCGTTCAGAGACAACATTAAGATAACATTCAGAGATAAATGATTTAAAATCTTCTTATAGCGACACCTGGATATTATTGCAAGAACTCCTGAAACAGTAAAGCGGTAATTGTTGCCGTATCAGAAAATGATATAAAAAGATGGTTTAAGCAATTGAAATAAATCTAAAAATTGTTTGAATTTCTATCATACCAGAAACGGTCTTGAATGGTGACGAAACTTTTTTTTTTCAAATTCCAATCGTTTATTGCGAATATAGGTTGATACAGTTCGTGTTTACGTAGTTTATCACTTATAGAACAAACATTTAGTACAGCTATATTCCGCCAGCTGGCTTACATGCCAGCCATGTCCATCGCATTTTATTACTTTTATATTAAATTACTTAAACCTACTCTAGTTAAATTGGAGTTCATCATCATCATCATCATTACAGCCCTTCACAGGTCCACTGCTGAACATAGGTCTCCCCCAAGGAATGCCACAAAGCACGGTCCAGAACCACCTGCATCCATCGACTTCCTGCATATCTTACCAGGTCCTCACTCCATCTAGTGGGGGGACGCCCAACACTTCGCCTGCCGGTACGAGGCTGCCACTCGAGAACCTTTCTTCCCCATCGCTTGTCGGTTCTTCGAGTTATATGGCCGGCCCAAAATGGAGTTCACATGATACAAAATCAAAAATAATAACGATAAGTCAATTTAGATAATATTATATAAGTCAAGTCAATTTAGTTATTCTCAGTCATGTAACAGTCAATTATCAAACTTATTACGTTCTTTGCGCAGACAGGTGTGGTCTTGGCACTAAAAGGTGCAAAGAATGTTTACGATATCGACCACGCTCCAGCTAAAAGTTCACTAACCATGATGTTTACTTTTACTGCCAATGGTGAAATCACCCCAACT